TGGAGGGGGCAGGGATGTCCCCAATGTGATGACGTCCTCAAAAGTGACATCATTAATTGGGGACGCGCCTGAATCCCAAGCGGCGAATTTGCTGCTTGGAATTCAGGCCCCCCCCCCTCAAAAATTATTTAAAGGATCCCTTTAAATGCTTTTGGAGAGTAGGGCCCACACATGCCTGAATCACTGCTTGAGATTCAGGTGCATGCGGCTCCTGCTTTCCAAAAGCATTTAAAGGCACCCTTTAAATGCTTTTGGTGGAGTGGGGGCCCACGCACCTGAATCCCAGGTGGTGAATTCACCTCTTGGATTCACCAGCGGCTGCCCCTGTCCCTCCCCTCCTGCCAGATTTAAAGGGCCCTCCACCTGATTGGTGGGACATGTGCTCCCACTGATCAGCTGGAGGGCTCTTTAAATCTGGCGGGAGGGGAGGGAGAGGAGTCACCACGGGTGGCTGCTGTTGGGGGTGGGGCTTCTCCCCACTGGCCTACTGGACGGCGGCAGGCAGGAGCCCCCAGAAATCGGGGGATCCCCTGCCCCCACCTGGGGCCTGGCATCCCTAGGAATGTAGGTTGGCTGGTGTTCCAGAATGTCCATAATTCTGCAAGTCTTTCCCGACCAGCCATCCATTGTTTCCCTCATTTCCCTATGCCGGTGCCAATCGCTTCAAGTTATTCCACAATTCATTACGAATGAACGGCGGGGCAATAGTTTGCTAAGTGGAAGGCAATGGTTAGTTGACTGCTGCTCACCCAAAGACTCTTATCTCTAAAATTGTGCTGTGGTTAGAATATCAAACACACTCAGCTTGTTTTCCTCCTCCAGGTTGAGACTATTAATTAAGTGTGACCTGTTGATAAGGATTCACGGGACTACCTGCACTAGACTGATAATTTCAGCTGGAGTCAGAATGTGCCTCTAAGGCTGTAAACACAATTATCATCCACTCACTGCTTGTTTTGAACTTCAGATTACTGCAGGATGACATTTCTAGATTTCCCTTCACAGTTTACGCTGGTAGTTTTGCTTCTGCTAGCATCTGTCAGTTCTAGGAATTGTAATGACAATTTTTTCGGGGAAAGATGGGATGGGTGATAACAGGAAAGCTCAAGGTTGATTACTAAATATACCAGGTTTCTCAGATGGGGAATCCTCATATGATGATAGTGCTCCATGAAGAGCTGGAGTGTGAAGAGAGAAAGACATTACTGAAATTAAAGCATAGCTGTACAATAGCCACACCTAGCGTGGTGTTCAAGGTCCACCCTACTGGCAAGGAAGTGGCCTCTCATGCACAGCAAACTGGCTCACATGAAAGTTCCAGGGTCTGGCTTGCTCAGTAGTATAAGCAACCAGGAAAACCTGCTCTTCCGCTGGCTTCAGACCATCTGTGCGTAATGGTTGTGGGTCTGCCTGCCGATGCCTCCTCAGATGAGGAGGAAACAGAGGAAGCTGGCCCCAGCCCTCAGATGCTGCAGGAAGCCCTGATGGACAAAGATGAGACTTTGTCAGGTGCAGAGGGACAGTCTCAGGCTGAAGCCAAAGTGCCACGGACCTGCAGCCCAGAACCTGCAGCTGTCAGCCTCACCCTCTGGGTCACCAGGGCCCTTGGAATGCCAGAGAAGGAGGGCCCCGAGGGAGATGCAAGATGGGCACTGTAGTGCATGGCTGGCAGCTCAGCACTGATCATTCTTCGCCTGTGAGCTTGAGTCACCACAGAATCAGGCAGACAGCCCCATAGGCTGCCCAGCCATGGATGAGCTGCACCTGTCCCTGGATGACTCAGCAGGTTGATGAGTTGCACCTGTCCATGAATGACTCAGCAGGGTTGTCATGATAAAAGCAGCCAGAAAAGGATGAGCTGGCATGGAAGCAACTTGTCCACAACCCTTGTGTGCCTATCATTGGTCCTGCCCTTATTAACCTCTGTGGGTTTGGCCACTTGGGCTGTCTTGGTTACCTGCCTGAATCTGGACACTTACATTTATTTCTGCCTCACTTTGACTGACCCACCTGTTGACTAGCCATAAAAGGAGCCCAGCATTCAGCAAAGCTCCTAATGCCAGAGTTAGGCGACAACATCAAAGCAAGGCCTTGGGCTGGCTTTATTTATGTATGTATTTATTGATTGATTGATTGTTTTGATTTTTACCCCGCCCTCCCTGCCGAGGCAGGTTCAGGGCGGTTTACATAAGATAGCAATAAATAAAACAACAATATAAATATCAGTATAAAACACACAACATAGTTATTAAAAACAATTTACATAGAGATGGCGGTACAGCTGTGGTAAAGTGCATATGAAACATACATTCAGTGGTAAGTTCCACTATCGGAGGGCTCAGGCTGGAAATAATATTTGGCACAGAGCATAAATGATGAAATGCAGCTCCTTACCTAAATGCCTGGCAAAAGAGCTCTGTTTTCGTGGCCCTGTACCTTTTCTTAGCTCCCCAAGGCAACTGGTTGGCCACTGTGTGAAATGGGATGCTGGCCTAGAAGGACTCCACCGGTCTGATCCAGCAGAGCTTTTTCTTACGACTGTTATGAATGAACCTAATCTATTCCTAATAGTGGCAGAAATGGAGGGGAATATTCAGGAGTAGTTCAAGCTATGTGGGTGATCTGACTCGAAGACTTCATGGCCCACCTTCCCCAAAAGTGCACAGAGCTTTAGATTTAGATTAGTAGATCTCTTGCCTGTCTGTCTATCTGTCTGTTTTGATGGCTCCTGAGACTAGAAGGTAGGGAGAAGGAAGTTAACCGAGCAACTGCTGGAAAAGTAGAATATTTTTATATCAGCAGAGGTGCACGGTTCCTCCCTTATGAAAGACGTATGTAGGCAGGCATAGAGAGACTTAATAGTGTTGTCTCTGAGAGTTAATGAGAACAGCCCAATCCAGCTACTTTGTACACATTTATAAGTAAGACCAGGGCTATTTTTGGGCAGGAACGCACAGGAACGGAGTTCCGGCTGGCTCCTAAGTTGGCCACGGCCAGCAGGAACTCACTAGCATAATAGGCCACACCCAACAGCAGAAACTCATTAGGATTGGCTACATTAGGGGTGTGTGGCCCTAACATGCAAAGGAGTCCCTGCTACAAAAAAAGCCCTGGGTTTTGACAACAAACAAGGTAAACAGAATAACAAGCAAAAGGTGGGTGTGGCTGGGTGACCACACTTCTGGCAACATGGGGGTGTGGCCTAATATGCTAATGAGTTTTAATGTTGGGTGTGGCCTATTATGCTAATGAGTTCCTGCTGGGCTTTTTCTACAAAAAGAGCCCTGAAAGACACTTACATGACATCACTTTCTGCTCCAGATTACGCACAAAAAAAGTCATACAGGAGCTTGCAATTCCAATCAGCTCAGATAACAGTGATTAGCAAACACAAATTATTTATTAGAATACCCCTGAGCAAGAAACGTACGCATCTCCCATGCCAAGCAAATAATCTTTAATTCAAAATACTGTTAGAAAGCTGAGAAATATCTTTCCTAACAGACGTAATTAACCATGTCAGTAGTAGCAACATCTTAAGTTGAAGGGTCTCTCAGGAAATCTCTCAGTAACTTCACCGTCTCTAGCCTGAATAATAGTGTTCCCAGAAGCCACAGGATAATTAAGCAGACCGAATCTCCAATCTAAAACAAATTTTGAGCAAACTAGATGGTAAACTTGATCTGCTTGACAGAAGCGTTCAACATCCAGTAAGTCTTTCAGGCAGCAAAATTAGAAACTTCTGACTATGGTCAGACAAATAACAGGGAACTCCTTTGCATATTAGGTCATGTAGCCAATCCTCCAAGAGCTTACAGAGCTCTTCTTACAGGAGCTACTGTAAGCTCTTGGAGGATTGGCTATATTAGGGGTGTGTCGCTTAATATGCAAATGAGTACCTGCTACAAAAAGAGCCTGGAGGTCACATAAGCCTTCAACATTAAATATAATGTGAATTTATTACAAAGGGATATAAATCCAGATCCACATTCCTCCATTTGCCTTATAATATCAATTTTGTTTCTTGGAATCTCTGGCAAAGAGGCTGGCCCAAGTGGTGGGGGAGGGGACGATGGGGATCTTTGGCAGTTAGCCATGCAGTACCCGCTACAGGTCTGGGCTTTAGACAATTAGGCTGTTATTTCTGAGAGTCTGATACCAGCGACTACGGAATGTGTTCATAATAACTTCTACAAGCTTTGAGGACATAGCAGATAGTCAGTGCCTGAGGAAAACTCACCTTATTTAAAGCAGTTAGACTAGGATATGGAAGGGTTACTACATGGGGGGAAAACTTTAAGAGTACTAGAAAGGAGAAACTTTTTCCATAAGCATGTTGTGATGGAATGTTGTGCACTGTCTTCATCACTGACTAGATTGCCCAGTTAAGTCTACTTTTTTGCAGTCTCTGTGCAACCTCCAGCTTATATATCCTTTTGTCTTGTACCTGGAAGTGTTCATAATTAATCATAAACCATTCGGTATCCCCCTCCACCCAAACAAGGAATTAAGCAGTCTTTGAAGACATATAAATGATCACACTTCTCTGAAGGGGTGGGGTGGGAATTTTCTCACCCTGATAGCGTCTTGTCAGTTCTTGTATTCTTCTCTCTCCCTGCTTCCACATGGAGGCTTTTCTCCATTTGTTTCAAAATGAAAGCTTTTTTTTGTTGTTTGGAGATTCTGTATGTCATTTTTGTAATCCTTTCCAGGTGCTGGTGTGAAGGGATGGTGAGCATTTTATTGCTTGCCAGGGCCCTACCCATGTCAGCAACATTTTTTTGCCATCAGCCCCCCAGAGACAATATTTTCCCTGCATTATTCTCCTAGTTTGCCATCAGAAGGCCTTTTGAGAGCTTTAAAAAAATCAGTAACTGCTATAGAACTATAATGCACTATAGTGCTACAGCAGTATAATGCTATAGCACTAGCAATTACTGTGGTTTTTTAGAGCCCTACAGTAACTCTTTGGTGGCTCAGTGGAGAAAAAATGCAGAGGACATGTCAGCCATGAGGAGATGACAGAGGAAAATGCACAGAAGACTTCATGTGTGGAAATTTTGTCACTAATGGCATTCACAGTGGCAATGAAAGCAATGTGGAGAACCCCCAACACAGTGACAGCAGCGTCTCTCACAAACACACATCTGTGAGTGATCAGTTTCCCTATGGTGCTGTCCCAGAATGTGTATGAGTGCCACACAGGCTGGACGAGTTAGATGGGTCTCATCACCTGATTGTTGCTTTCCCTCCTAGGGGATGGTGATTGGGTAGAAAAGGTCCATGCAATCACTGCACCAGTGTGGTTGCAGTGTTCATAGATGGCTAATGGACTTTGGGGTAGTTCTGTAGAGAAGCAGATCTCACATGGCTGCAGGTATATATGAAAAGAGGCATACTGATGGATGGTAATCTTACAACACACATGCAGAGTTGTAGTAATGTTACCTTGATTTGTTGAGATTCTGAATCCAGATGTTCAGTAGATCTGTTGGGTGAGGTGCTGCTGCTGTTTTCCAGTGTTATTGATTCAGGTCATTAAAAAAAAGATAACTAACTTGAAATTCTTCATATTTTTGGAAATGTGTTGTTTCTAGCAAGAAGTGCAAACCTTCCTGGTCATTGTTGCCCTGATTTCTATTCCGTGGATGCTTTTGATTAAGCCCTTCATCCTTCGTGCTAATCACCAGAAAGCTCAGCGTATGGTAAGAATGACTGTCTCTGGCGGCATTGGGCTTTTGTATGCATTGCATGTGTGAAAGTCAGTGTTAGTGAGTCAAGTTATCTGAGTCAAAGATTAGACACAAATATGATTGTGTTGTCTCCACTTCTTACCTTCAATGGATAACCAATGATTTTAAGCCAACTCTGATTTCCCTGGTGAAGTCTCAAGTAGCTTGGAAACTGAATTGTGAGGTCTACTTGGTGATGTGGCATGCAACAACAGCTGATTGTGATCCAAATTCCTGGAAGTGGGCATATGTACACCACATTGAGTCCCAATATTGAAAGTTAATTAATACAGTAAACTGGTTTAATGGTTCTTCTCTGTTCCCAGAGACCTATGAAAATGGTAATTTGAAGTAGATAGTTATTGCTAAAAGTGAATTCTAATTACCCGTTCCCAAATCATGATACCCAGGAGCCATGACAATTAATTGTGTCTAATCATAAGATGGATGGCCAGTGCCAATCAATAAAACAGTGAAACAAGGCCATCCATAAACAAAGTAACAGTTTCTGCAATATTACCTGCAAAAATTGAAGAAGAAGATGATGATAATGATGATGCAGACACACAAACACACACAAATAACAGCCCAGTGAAGACTAAACAACACTGGAGGAGGAACAGAATTCTGAGGACGTTTGAGCATCAGTTAAAGGAAAATAGAGAGGATGGGGAAATTGGTCTGTTCAGCACTCTGTGGTTAGCATTTCTTGGCGATTCCTGTGAGACTCCAACATGTCTGGTTAAAAAAAAAAACTGATTAAAATATAGTGTAAATATGCCCAAAGTAACTTCTGAAACTTGAGAAATAAAAAACAGTTTCTTATTTATTGAAAGTAACATCTGTTTGAAGCAGAAAATGAAAACCATACTCTACTTAACACCTTTCTAGCTCAGAACCAGCATCCAGAATATTTTAGAGAGAACACAGATGGTTCTTGGTTTTAAAGGCAAACTAATCTGATTGCATTTAATGGCCTTTTCTGCAAGTGTAACACCTGGCCTGTAAGTGAAAGGCAGGTCCCTTTTGAGAAAGATGTTCAAATATTTTTGACCTGGATTTTCAGGAATTAGACAATTCTCCAGCAAGCTTATTCAGATCCTGATCTGGCTGTGTATCTGATTTTTAAAACGTCTTTTTAGTTATAGGTCAGTTTATGACAATTTGATTAGATAAGAGATATCTCTGATCAGCGTCTTCTAATTTATAAAAATTCAAAGCAGCTTGGGAACCCCAATCAGACTGGGAGAGAGGTAATGGGGAAGAGGTTTTAGCCATTTCACCTGTGCTGTTCCTACTCCCACCCCAGCTGCTGATTGTCCTTGGGGGCATTTAGATCAGGAAAACAGCACAGGTGGAGGGAAGAGTTAAACCCTCTCTCTTGCACTACTGTGGTCTGAGCCAGCCTCGTGTAGTGGTTAGGAGCATGGACTCTAATCTGGGAGAATCGGGTTTGATTCCCCAGTCCTCCACATGCAGCCAGCTGGGTGACCTTGGGTCAGTCATAACTTCTTTCAGAGCCGTTTTCTCAAGGACAGTTCTCGAAAGAGCTCTCTCAGCCCCACCTACCTCATAGCATGTCCGTTGTGGGTAGGGGAAGGGAAAGGAGATTGTAAGCCACTCTAAGACTCCTTCGAGTAATGAAGGGCGGGGTATACATCCAATCCTTCTTCTCTTCTTGTAGCTGTTTTAATACTAAAAATAAAACAAAGCATCTCCTGATTATGGACTTCCTGTATCATGTTTGTTTGGCCCTGAATATACCTGAGCTTCCTGAATATACCTTTGATGTTCCAGCCTGAATTAGGCAGGTCTGACAGCAATTACAGGTTCAGTAGGGCAACACCCATACACTTATTTATACATTCAAATGAGATATTGCCTATGAATAGGGTTTCCAACCTCCAGGTGGTACCTGGAGATCTCCTGTTATTACAGTTGATCTCCAGATGACCAAGATCAGTTCCTCTGGGGAAAATGGCTGCTTTAGAGGGTGCACTCTATGTCATGATACCCTGCTGAGATCCTTTCCCTCCCCAAACCCCACTCTCCTCAGGCTCCATCTCCATAATCTCCAGGTATTTCCCATCCCAAAGCTGGCAAACCTTCCTATGAAACATATTGGGAAAGAAATCCAGTATCAGAGGAACAATAAGGCTTTCAAATCAGTGACTGATTCCACAAAAGCAGTTGTTCCGCCCTCGGTCTCCTATTTCCCCCGGTTGTACTGCTCAATTTCCTACTATTTGCTGCGCAGCCTCATTTTGACCTGCATCTCCCCCCAATTTTCCCCATGTCTTCTTGATCCTTATTTTTTGGGATCAAGAAGATGAGAGGGAAATAGAGGGGGAGATGTGGGTCAAAATGCAGCCGCGCAGCAAATAGTGGGAAATTGAGCAGTACAACTGGGGGAAACGGGAGACTGAGGGCGGAACAACTGCTTTTGCAGAATCGGTCAGTGTGTTTTTAAAGATATTTTTCCTTTCATGTTTATGTAATTTACTGATGGGCCATTAAACAATTGAAAGTTTGTCCAGAACAACAAAAATCCACCCCACTACATGTGGAAAAATAGTGTCTCAGGGAGTAGGCCTTTCTTCTTGACACATCAGATTCTTATGTATTTTTTTAAAATGGGGGAATATTCAATCATGAACACTCCTCCCCTGAAACCTCAAGTAGAAAATCTTTACCACTTAGTTCAGTGGAACTGGCCCCTGAAATCAGTACGTGAGGGAAGTGAGTTCTTTATCTAAATCAGTGTTTCTCAAACTGTTGGTTGGGACCTAACTGTGAGTGGGAGGAGGTAGATGAGAGAGAGCTGTGAAAGTGGACAATGGCAAATTTGGGTTTGTGTCTGCTAGATTTCTAAATAGTCATGAACATATTTATTGTTCAATAATGCCACAAAATCTGTCTATACTTGTCCTTTGTTTGATGGATTCTGAGATTCTTGGATTTTATAGTGAAGGGGTAAAATAGCATAGAGATTTTTGCAAGTGGACCCCAGAATTAGAGTAAGTTATGGTGGTCAGATGGGAAAAAGACAGACACAAACCAGCCTCAGATGGGAAAAAGACAGACACAAACCAGCTCATGGGAAATGACATGTGGAGGGCAAGAGTTAACGCTCCCCCATTCTTCATATCAAGTCCCTCTCTGCAGCTGCTTTTCAGAGCAAAAGTAAAGATTGTGAGTTCAAGTAATGTAGTTTGATTCTGAGTTAGTATTGGGTCAAATGGGCGAATGATGCAAAGAATCAGTGCCTTTTCTAGTTTATCAGGAGGTGGAATTGTCTTAGAAATTCCTTGAAAGACAGATGATGGAGAATTTGATAGATTTGATATAATGTATATTATATGTATTGTATTAATTTTGTTACTAATGTTGGCAGTGGCAATGTGTAATCTCTGTAGACTCATTTTTAACTACTACTGAAATTCAGTATTATGTCACCAGCATTGCCTGAACATTAGAAACTTATGTCTATTACATTCTGGAGGAAGCCGGAAGTCCATGGGGCTTTCTCTAACATGCTGGTAACATCCGCCATTCTCTTTCTTGTAAGCTGGTATCTCCTGAAATGTCAGAGAGTCCCACTGGAGACATTGAGGTAGAGATCATTAAGTCTAACCTCTCTGAGAAAGCAAGCAAAGAAGACCACAGTGATGGTGGCCATGGGGGACACGATGACCATGATGAAGAGGTAAAATTGTTCAATAAGTGGACTTAAAGAAGGGCAGTGGAAAACTTGACCTCTCCCCATTCACATTTGCACCTGTGTGCATATATTTACTAATATAAAGCCTGTACTTTACAAACATGGATGATACATTCCTGGCTGACACTTGACCCCCTCTCCTGACTCAAGGATAGAGGCTGAATTTGCAACCCCCTCCATTCTGTTGCATTATGATATATTCCTGGCTGCTACATACCTTTACAGTCTGGTTTGCTGTTTGATAGAGTACTGGCCGTCATTATGTGCTTGATTTTTTAAGTCTACCATACTACATTTTAAGTATATTTCATTACATACGTAATACAGGCAACAACTTATTTATAGTGGTATACATAACATTTACAAAATAATTGGGTGGTACAGATCACATTGTGGCTTTTATATGTTCAGTTTGCAGACTCACAGGACACAAATCGTGGTGTCTTGTGTTTGGCGTGAACCAAATTTCAGATTTCTGTGTGATGTGGAAGTATATTAACAGTGTTAACAATGACTGAGCTCTTGGTGTCTTTACTTACATAGATGCATGCAAAGATATATCAAAACAATGGCTTGGATCCTGTAGTAAATCTCCACAAATGGGAGGTGGTTCTGCCAGCAGTACAGGACTCCCTCCTGCCCACTGTGCCTGAAATGCCTCCCACCCCAAAGCTTCCCCTGGGGACAGAGGATGCCCAGGAACAGCAAGAGAGGGCAAATCAGAAGTCCTCAGTGGCATGGGGGAGTCGGAGTTCCTTCCATTACCAAAACTCTACTGTGGGATCCAAGCCAAAATCTCAAACTACTAGAATGAAATAATAAAAGCCAACATATCATATATTTAACCAGGTAAAAATAATAGTATGCGTATGTAAGTGCCATCAAGTTGAAACTGACTCAGGGTGATCCCAGCAAGAGGCTTTCGAGGTAAGTGAGACGTAGAGGTGGTTGGCCATTGCCTTCCTCTGCAGAGCCTTCCTTGGTGGTCTCCCCTCCAGTTACTTACCCTGCTTAGCTTCTGAGATGCACATCGAAATATAAATCAGATCAGTCTAGGTACATAGATGATTAAATAGTATGCAAATAGTAAACTGTCCAGTTGATTACCATTGTACACTGTGGCTGTTAAATTTTTATTTATTTATTTATTTTTGTATTTATACCCCACCCTCCCTGCAAATGGGCTCAGGGCGGCTTAGAAGAGGGCAAAATATGCCCATACATTAAAACAGGGTAAAAACAATAAAACCAACGACTATTACAAATAAAGTGCTCAAATTTAAACAAGATGGTCATTCATTAGAGGTAGGTGGTTTTTCATGGAGGTAGGTAGGGTCCAGTAGATGTTAAATTGTCCAGTCCAGCCCAGTGCTGTATTGTGGCCAGATCTTCTTTACTCCATTTGTTGCCAACACTGTTGGTAGTGGTGGTGGTGGTAGTAGTAGTAGTGGCGGCTCCTACATAAAAGCCTGGTAGAAGAGCTCTGTCTTGCAGGCCCTGCGGAACTGTACTAGGTCCCACAGGGCCCTGATCTCCTTTGGGAGCTCATTCCACCAGGTAGGAATTCCATCACTGAGAAGGACCTGGCCCTCGTCACAACAAGCCTTGCCTCCCTGGGGCCTGGAATCACCAGGCGATGTTGTGTCCCAGACCGAAGTGCTCTTAGGGGTCTATGTGGGGAAAGGTGGTCCCTCAGGTATGTCAGACCCTGGCCATATAGGGCTTTAAAGGTAAGCACCAGCACTTTGAAATGGATCCAGTATGCTATTGGCAGTCAGTACAGTTCTTTCAGCCCAGGCCTGATGTGCTCCCACTTGGGGAGACCCATCAACACCCTGGCCGCCGCATTCTGCACCAGCTTCAGCTTCTGGATCTGCAACAAAGGCAGCCCCATGTAGAGAGTGTTACAGTAGTCTAGCCTCGAGGTGACAGTCGCATGGATCACTGTAGCCAGGTCATCGCGGTTGAGGAAGGGAACCAACTGCCAAGCCAGCCTAAGATGGTAAAAGGCTGACTTGGCAGTGGCTGCCACCTAGACCTCCATAGTTAAGGAGGGATCCAGGAGGACTTCCAAACTCCTAACCTCCAACGCTGGCACCAAAGGTGCCCCATCGAAGGTTGGGAGAGGGATCCCCAACCCCAAACCAACCCGACTCAAGCACAGGACCTCCGTCTTCACTGGGTTTAGTTTCAACCGGCTCAGCCTGAGCCACCCAGCCATGGCCTGTAAAGCCCGGTTCAGATCTTCTGGGTCGGAGTCTGACTGGCCGCCCAACATCAGATAGAGCTGGGTGTCATCCGCATATTGAGGAGCATTGGCAAGTTGTTCACTTTTTAAAAAGCATGTAGTCAAGAATATAGACATCCCATACTGCTTACATTTACTGTAGCTAGTCACTAGATTGAGAATGTTTCAGCACTTTTTTTCAATTGCATCTTGACCAACTTTTCATTATAATGTTTGAAAGTTATGAAAAATAGTAACACAAAAGGGGCCATTTGTTATGTCCAGGCTGCTACAATCTTGTAGGGAGACAGGCAAATGGACTGAATACAAAACCTCCCAACTGGATCAGGAAAGAGATAAAAAGAAAACCAAGCACCGTCAATTTTCCATCTCCAATGACTTCAGTAAACATTGCTTCTGAAGCTGCCATGGACAAGACCCCAAATCTGACGGATTTACTTAAATTCATTCACAACTCTTTAAGCATCTTCATACTGAACTTGGGGCCATCCAATGAACTTGATGGGCAGTCAGTTCAATACAGTCAAGGGAAAGTAATTCTTCATGTAGTGCACGATTACCACTACTGCAGGATAGAGAGAGAGCTTCTAGCTTAGATGGCTTTAAAAGGAGATAGATTTATGGAGGGGGTAGGTCCATCAGTGGCATTAGTGACAATGGCTAAATGGAACCTCCATGGTCACAGGCATACTACTTCTGAATAATAGTTGCTGAGGGGCAGCAACAGTGGGAAGTTTTGACTTTGTTGGCCTTCCAAGGATATCTGGTTGGCTACGGTGGGAGACAGGATGTTGGGCATTGCTCTGAGCCCGCTGGGCTCTTCTTCTCTTATGTTATCAAAGTATGCTACATCAGTTGTGTTGCTGCTGCCAAAGCCAGCAGTCTTGTCAGATCTCAGAAGCTAAGCAGAGTCAGCCCTGGTTAGTACTTGTATGGGAGACCACCAAAGAAGTCCAGAGTTGCTACAAAGTCAGGCAATGGCAAACCACCTCCGTTCGTCTCTTGCCTTGAAAACAGTATAGGGTCGCCATAAGTCAATTGTGGTTTTACAGCACTTTCCACCACTACCAAGTCAATGTGATGGCATCATACTCTAAATTCCCCTGCTTCTGAAAGCCTTCCAAGCAGAGTACAGCAAGGATGACTTCACATCATGTACCAGGTGTTCATAGATCTTACTGGTGAAACAGGAGAAAAAGACATAGTTGTAGCCGGCCCTGTATCTGCTGTAACATCTCATTTCAGCCTAGGGTGAAGTATTAAAATAACAGGATTCTTTATGCAATAACCTTTTAGTCTATTCCTCATGTGACTGCCTGTTTAGTGTAGCCCATACTTTCCTGTAAAATGCTGAAGTCTCTTGAGAGTACCTTACAAGATCTCAGCAGCCATTTTGGATTACCTGAGCAACTAAAAACAATAGCAGTAGGCCAAAGAGACAGGAGCGAAGCATATCCAAAGTGGAGGGGGGAAAGAAATATGGAGTCAAAGGAGAACATGGGGGGCTGCAGAGGGAGGAAAGGAGGGAAGGAAAGAAAAGGGAGATGCTGCAGTGACTATAAGCAGAGGTCATTTCGGGGGGAATCGCGGGGGATCGCAGTTCCCCCGGGTGAGGTACGGGGGCGGGGCACATGATGAAGCCCCGCCCCCCGCTTCCGGCCACCCCGCTTCCGGCCCTCATTCAGCCAGGAGGAGGCAGGAGAAGAGGGAGGGTAAGTTGCTTCCTCCCTGCCTCTCCCCACCCCTGCCTGCCTGGGGCCAGGGAGGGCCTTCGCGTGGCTTCCTTGCACCCCCGCCAGCCATGCAGGTCCACCGCCGGGCCCCTCATGGGGCTCGGCAGTGGAGCTGCAAGGCTGGCGGCGGCCAGGACCGTTGGGGGCGGGGTGTGTGGCCTTATGACACACTTCCGGTGATGTCAGGGGGTGTGGCCTTATGACACACTTCCGGTGATGTCAGGGGATGTGGCATATGCTAATGAGTTATGCTAATGATTTCCCCTAGCTCTTTTTCTACAAAACGACCCCTGACTATAAGGGAGGGAAAGTGGAAAGAGGGTAGAGATCATGTGGGGGAGTGAGTCCTTGCAGGTCCCCTACTTGCTAAATAGTATTAGCAAAGTACTTTCTAAGTGCTTAAAGTGCTTAGCATTGAACTCAGAACTTAGCTTTGATCTCAGAAATTCTTAGAACTGCTCTGGTAAGGCCACTAGGTATGATTATTTCCTAATTACCTATAGGGACGGACTCCAGGTAAAATTATATGTTATGTTTTCCCAAAGAGTCTTATCAGTTCTTTGCTTGCCAACCTCCATGTAAATGGAAGTCCAAACAAAACATCCGTGACAAAAATAACGAAGAGTCCATGCTTTAATATGTCAGAAAACAACAAAAACACAATGGTGAGGAAATAAAGTTTACAGTATAATGACATATAAATAAAATATACATGGACAACTAAAAGAGAGAGGGAAATCATTCCCTGCTGCACCAATATAACCTTACAATGAAAATATACTGCATATTTGGGATTGAGGCACTGGACTCCAACATCTTATAATGAAGAGTCAATAAAGTTATATATACGAAATTGTTTACCTCTGTGGAAAACTCTCTTCTTTTATCGCTCATACGCAACAAATTTTGCGCAATAAAAATATCTGTTTCACAAGGATTGCTTTATCTGAGCGTGTAGTAATTACAATTCTTATCAATTTCCATCCATCAACTCTTTAAATAAACATCCCATGATGACTCTCTGATATCAGAACCCAAGGTCTTCACAATTGTGTTTATGGCTGTTGTGATATCTGAATCCAGGATCTTTTTGCTCACAGTTTTTTCTCTTAATCTATTTCAGTTCAACTTTGGAGACATCTTTGTCCACCAGGCTATCCACACCATTGAATACTGTCTCGGTTGTATTTCCAACACAGCCTCCTACCTTCGGCTGTGGGCACTCAGCTTGGCACATGCACGTGAGTGTTCAGTGTGGTTGTGGTGTGAGCAACAGCTGTGTTGCCCTGGCTGTAACAGGAAAAAAAAAAAAAGATTGATATCTGGCTTTTCCATAGAAATTGTCTGGCTTTTCCATAGAAATACCTGTTGAATCAATAGCCAGTTGTTAGAAACCTAACCAATCTGGACAAGATCCAGATAAAGTTATGCTAGAATAGAGATGGAAGGGAAGTTTGCTTTTTGTGAATTTTTTGGCCGTGTCAAAACATGCTGTTCCTTTTGGTTGATTTTTTCCTCACTTGTATTGAAAGGAGACAAATGTGTTTGTCCAGGTGTAAGGAGTACAATATGAATTGCTCATCAGCTCAGCCCATGACTGACTGCCATCTCTCTCAGTCATCTTTGTTTGCCCTCAAATGATGTCATTGCTTAGCCATATCAGATTAGCAACACAGTGTTGTGATACCATTACTTCCACTATGGGCTGGCATCACTGTTAAAATGGTGAAAGAAGGAGCTGGAAAGTGTAATGGCACTGAAGCTCCAACAAAGAAGGGAAACAATTGCAATGTGGTGGGTTTTTCCCTGGTCAGTTGGCAATAGGGCTACCAACCTCCAGCTAGGGCCTGGAGTTCTCCTGGAATTGGAATTACAACTGACCTCCAGACCACAGAGATTAGTTCTCCTAGAGAAAATGGCTGCTTTGGAGGGTGGACTCTGTGACACTGTACCTCCGGTGAGGTCCTTACTCTCCCCAAACCATCCCCAGTCTCTACACCCAAAGCACCCTGTATTTTCCTACCTGGAGTTAGCAACCCTACTTGGCAACCCTAGTGGGGCCTCCTTCAGTCTTTTACTCATTTATTTCAATTTATTTCATCCCACCCTATAGAGTTCAGAATAGTGCTGAAACCTCAGAACTACCTTGTTAGGTAAGATGGGTTCAGGGACTTGTTTGAAATTATCCAGTGCTCTTTGTTGCTCAGTAGGGATCTGAATCTAAGATTCTGCCAGTGCTCCTGCTATTGGGCCACTTTATATTAAATTCAGTAATAATGGAGCAATTCAAGAGTCTTCCGGGAAGCTGGAACTGACACTGATTTACAGGCCTGGGATTCTGGAAGACAGTCCCCCCCCCCCCTTAAATGCTGGCATCAGTGAACTAGCCAAGGAACTCTTTGCCATATTTTCCAACGGTATATGTTGCTTAGTACACTGTGAGAATGTTACTAATCATTACGAAAGTTAGTAGTCTGTGCCAAATTTGATCTGAACCACTAAAAGCCAGTCTGTTTTCTGTTTCAATCTGTGTTAAAGTTGACATTGCCGTAACATTTCTAAGTCTCTTTTGTGTTCACGTTTTTGCAGGGTATCTGAGAAACCATTGAGGAGCTTTTCTGTTTTGGTGGGAATATCACGCAAAATAAAAAAAATGTCCTCTTTACAGTAGTGCATTTGTTTTATCAGTATTAGATAACTAACTCCTATGCCATATTCCCCTGTCACCGGGCAAATTTAGAAAACTGAATGGACAGAGAATTACTTAGGGACTGGCCTAAAAGTGCTCAGAAATTCTCTGGAGGCTAGCCACCCTTGAGGAAAATTATAATACTGCTTAGTGGCACACTCCCACCTTCAGGTGTGATGCAGAGGTACACTTCACCTCACCCCTGCCTTGATCTTTAAGACTGAATAACCTTGTCCACTCATGAAAACCAAGAAGGGGACCAGATGTAAACAAAACAAGAACTTTCTCTTCTTGAAAGGAGAAAGTGTGTTCAAGAATAAACAATATACATTTGTAACTGTGTGAAAGACACAGTTTAGAGAAAGCTTCAGAATACAATGATTCCAAGAGAGATAGTCAGAAACCACCTGTTTACCACATGAGAATAGAAAGAATAAACAACTGCTGTACAGATTTTTCAGACATTATTTAAAGATTGCTAAATCTTATACCACACATAGCTCAGACTTCCCCTTAGCTTCCCACTGCCTAGGAAGTATAAGTTTTAGAGTTTAATCAGAAGAGTGTGTCCCCCTTGGTATAATGCTAAACCAGTCTGCTTCTGCTGTGAGATAGGACTTCTAAACCCTATCTGAGGGAGTGGCAGTTACACCAGCCCTTATTGTTCCTCCAACTCCCTCTCTTATCTCCTTCTAAGGGTTTCAAGAATCCTGACTGGCTGCTTCTGGCTTCTCCCTTATACAAATAGGGTAGACTGGGGTTGGCAGATAAAGGGGAGGGGGAAGACCTAGTCTTGTCAGTCACACCCAGTCATGAGTACCCCTGTGACACACTGAAGGGTACTAACCAACATGGGGGGGCTTTTATTTAATTGAAACATTTATATCTTCCCTACTAAATGTAGTTTTTGAGATGGCTTTTTTAAAAACAATGAAATAGAAAACCAAGAAAGAACACACAATCTTCAGCCTGAGAGTTAATTACTTAAGACCATTGAAGGTTTGGTAAAATGACACAAGTTTTTAACCCGTTGCCTAAAATTCATCACGGAAACACCAGATGAATGGATAAGGAGGAGGAAGGGAGTTGCATAGAAAAGACCATGTCTATGGTTAGCCTCCTACTTCACCTCTGTGGGAAGAGGTATTCCCAGACAAACCCCCAGTGAAGATCTGTGTGGTTTTAAAGCCATTTGTTGTGGAAGGATCTCATGTCTAAATGGATTTAAATATTGTTGCTTGGGATTGTATTGCCATGTTCTTTCTTCTCCCTTCCTTTGCTTTTTTAGAGCTCTCAGAGGTCCTTTGGACTATGGTGTTCAAAATTGGACCTTCCTTTAAAGGCTTGGGAGGACTCATCGTCATCTTCATCATCTTTGCTGTCTTTGCTGTCCTGACTGTAGCTATACTGCTCATCATGGAGGGCCTCTCTGCCTTCTTGCATGCTCTGCGACTTCACTGGTAGGTAATAACATGCACAGGTGGTGGCAATAATAATACTTCACATTCTGTAGATTGTTTGCATCTTCCCAGTGCTAAAAATGCAGTGTTTGTTGTCCATCGCATTTCTCCACCTTTCTGTTTCTTCACTGAATTTAGTATGGACATTCCTTAGGATCTCCTTCTGCTTTCTTAGTTTTTAATACATGTATGCTCTCTCTCCACATAACATATCCCATCAAAAGAAGGGCTGTACACTTGTACTTCCTGTAGAGGGTGACATTTCCACTTAGTTTTGACGGATTGCCATTACTGCTTCAACCATATGCCCCAAGGGACCCATCAAATAAGTGCTATGGCTACTGACTTATTTACAAAGCCGTTGACCCATTGCCTTGTTCAGCCAGGAAAATAAATAAGATAGGCAGTACTATGGCACAGATAGGCTGGTGGGGCAAAGTAAAGGTCCAGATGGATTTTTCAGTCTTTCTCACTTGTACCTGCCATAGTATTAACAAACAGGTCCAGTCCTAAGCAGAAGTACACTTTCCTAAGCCTGGTGAGTTCAATGGAATTAGAAGGGTGTGAGTGTTTAGGACTGCACTATATACATGAGCACATACATGAAACTGTCTTATAGTGAATCAGACCATTGGTCCATCAAAGTCAGTATTTATTCTGACTGGCAGTGTCTGTACAGGGTCTCAGGTAGAGGTCTCAGGTAGAGGTCTTTTACATCACCCACTACCAAGTCATTTTAACTGGAGATGCCAAGGATTGAACCTGGGACCATCTGCCACCCAGCTATTACATCTCCCTTCCAACCTCTGGTACAATTGTGATCCAAGGTCACGGCTAAAGTTGACCCAAAAGGCAGGGCTAAAGGGCTAGGGCACTTCTAAGTTTTTAATTGTTTTATCATGGCACATGGTGCCGTTAACTGTGAGCCGCCCTGAGTCCGTTCGCAAGGAGGGCGGGATATAAATCCAATAAATAAATAAATAAGTTTCCTGACATTGGTTCTGATGCTCATTACAGTATATGGGAAAGAGGACACCTCTGTAGTCCCTGCTCACTTCCATGTATGTTGTATCATAGCTCTGCCACTCATAACTCTGCTTATTTAATGCATTTGTTTTCCCCCCTTTAGGGTAGAGTTCCAAAACAAGTTCTACTCCGGGGCAGGCTATAAATTCATACCATTTTCTTTTAAGCACATCATAGAAGGAACAGAAGAATGAAACCTGTTTGGAGCAAGGAGCTCTGAATCTCCCAGGCTTGCTGCTGTTTCTCTACTACTACTTTTTTTTAAGGAAACCTTCCCCAAGAATTTATGACCATGAAGGATTTAGCCATGCAGTGTGTCCTATACTGCCTGTAGCTACATAAGAAGATTGTCCTTGCCCTGCAGGCTGGCCCAAAACTGTACTAAGAATGTGTGTCAAGAACAATATTTCTAGCAGAATTTCCTCCTCTGATCATTGTAAAAATGTGATTCAGTGGGTCAATTCAAAATAAAGATCTCAGCATGAAGTGTCTTTTGTGCATATCATTAAATGGCAATATGCTCCATAGTGATACTGATGGAGTAAACCTGTTTCTGGAAGGTACCGATTCAGTCTGCAGTGTGTGTGTTGGGGGGGGGGCTGGATTCACATAAATGAACTTCCACGCAAACAGTTCCCTGGGCAATTCTGCATCTAGCATTCGCTCCACATTTTCTCAACTGGGAAGAAAAAGTGTAGCTCAAAACCACATTCAAACACCTCCCATACTGACTGCAAAGTCACCCCTGAACGGCCATAAAAAGGCCATAAATCTATGCAGAAGGTACCATAAAATCTGATTATCAAAGAAAGCGAAAGCAGCATGGAGTGTGGAGGCTACCATAAAATCCGATGATCAAGGAAGTGAAAGCAGCATGCAGTGCAGAGGGGAATTCCTGTTCCAACATGGGTTTTCGGAGGGAAAAGCCAATGCAGAATCAGCCCCTGTCTCTCTCTACAGATTAGGCTAGAGTTCCCTGACTATTTTTACTTAATGGTGGTAGAAAGTGCTGTCAAACTGTAGCCCGCTTATGATGACCTCATAGGGTTTTTCAGGGCAAGAAACAAACAATGGTGGTTTGCCATTGCAACCCTGGAGGACCTCAAGGGTCTCCCATCCAAGAACTAAGCAGGGCCAGCCCTGCTTAGCTTTAGAGTTCTGGTGAGCTCAGGCAAAACGTAGGCCATCCAGGTCCACACATTTTAACTTAACAGCATCCTATAAAGGGGGTGGGGCCACTTCATTGGGGCACTATGATGGAAGCAAGTGACCCTGCCAGAATTTCCCCATCAATGCAACTACTAAAAGCTCAACAACCCTATCTCAGATTTCATCCCAAATTTAAATTTCATTGAACTGCTTCCAAAGAAACTGCTTGTTTCTTGACAAGTATATTTAGGACTTACAGCCTTAAATGTTACTAAAGACAGCAAATGTTAGAATCGAGCTAATATACTCTGATCTTTAGTTTCCAGATCCTCCCCAGTTCCACTTTATGTGTTTTATGAGTAGAGGATGTAAGAGGTTTTCCCTCTGAACCCTTCTCTTCAACATTATTGTGTAGTGGGTTGACCGCATGGCTAGGCCCACTCAGCTCCCATAACATGGTGCACGCTTGACTCTCACACAACTAAGACAAAGACTAACGGCCAGGAGGCCAACTATATACATATCCAGGGGACACCCCTGGATCCCATTGGGAGGTTCGAATTTCCCTCCCCGTTTCCCTTGGCTCCTATTGGAGAGACCAGGAGACCAGTTTCCATTGTCCACCCAGGGTCAAGCCCTGGATAGTCCATACTAAATTCAGCAGACACAACAAACATATTAATGATCATAGGTAACGAGAGAAAAGAATAAGGTGTTCAATCCAATGTGCTTTAGACATTCACAGGTATGAAAGGATGTCACAATCTGTACTCCCTCTGTGTAAACACAGCTTTGTGTTCTGGCACAAACCTAGTGAAGTGTCCTGAGAAAGTCTGCAAAAAAAGGAATAAATTGTTCCAGCTCCCTCCCTTATCTCACCTCATGAACATTTTGAAAGAAAATAATCTAAAGGTGTTGATTTGGTTTAAAGCCATAGTCAATCAGATGACAAATTGTCATTAATCCTCTTACACAGTTACAGGCTGTTTTCTTGGCACCGGAAGAATACAAACAGGATCTGGGAATAGCATGGAATCATTCAAAATTCAGAAGCATACTCCATTCCAGGAATCCCCATTATTATCTTAACTGTTCCATTCGTTTAACAATATCTGGTAGGACGTTTTCTCAGATGTCACAGAAGTGGGACTGGCCTGGATGCTCAAGGGTTCAATCTCAATGTTTAATAGTTAATAATGTTAATATTTTGTATTTCTTATCTGTTGTTATGTTGTTTTTAAACTTATTTATATGGATCTATGTTGTCAATTGCCATGACACCCTTTGGGTGAGTGGTGACTAAAAATTCTAATAAAATAAATCATTGTAAACAAGAGGAGGCAGCCTTAGAGGGCCAGGCTCTTGACTCTTGGGTCTGTCCCGACTTCTTCTAAGTCCTACACATGAGAAGGAACACATTCTGGATCCTGGACATTGGTGGCAGGAGATATAGAGACCTATTATAGGATGGCAGTTCTTCACATTCACATTTATAAACATTATTTCATCATGGATATAGGTTCATGCAACGTGGATGTTCTTTACAAT